CACACACACAGGTTCAAGGTCCTGAGGCTTAACAGCCTGGCCAGCCAGTCCAGCATCAGCCTGCTGCTGCTGTCAGCCATATCCATAGTGCTGCCCACGGCCGCGCTGCACCTCTCCATGGGCGGCAAGAGCGACGAGCCGCTCGACGAGGACAGGTGCAGGGGGCAGCGTCGCAAGGAGGGGAGGGGGGGCGTCTGTTCCAAAAGCGGCGCGGCGCGGCCGCCAGGCATCCGCGGATGTCGGCGAGAGCAGCGCTGCGAGCCACCGCCGAAAGGCGCCAGCAGGCGCTGGCTGCGGGCGGAGAACGGGACAAAGTTCGCAATTGAGAGGCCGCGGGCTGCTCTTCAGTCTCTGATATTGTGGCTCTTGGCATTACCCTTGGACGCCGCACCCTTTCAACCACCTCTCCCACGACACGACACGCGTCCTCGCGCCTGCCCTCGCTGCCCCGCGCCGTCGATCAAAAGCGTGCTGCTGTTGAGCCGCATGACGGCCGTGGCCCTGCTGGTGGTGTACTGCGGGTACCTCGTCTTCCAGCTGGGGTCGCACTCCGACCTGTTCAGGGCGCCGGCCGGTGGGTGAATCTGCACGGCTGGGCCGCTGCGTGCATCGGCGCAGCGCGGGATGCCGTCCTTTGAATCGCGCCGTGGTCACAAGCGGCGCGCTTGTGCATGGGCGAGCGTGAGCGAGTGCGCGGGGCACACGTCGCTGCGAGGGGGACGTGACCGCAAGCACGACGCACAAATGCGTGCTCCGACCTTGCAGAAGGCGGGGACGACGATGGGGGCGGCGGCGGGGGTGCCAACGACGAGCACAAGGAAGCGCCCTCCCTCACGTTCGGCGCCGCGCTGGTGTGGCTGGCGGGCATCACTGTGCTGGTGGCGTTCTGCAGCGAGGCGCTGACCGGGTCCATCGAGGAGGTGTCCCACGCCTGGGGGCTCAGCCAGAGCTTCCTGGGGTGCGCGGGGCGGGGCCAACTTGAGCGGTGGTCAGACGCCAGCTGACTGGCCTGCCTGCCTTTGTTAGTGGTTGCAGGCAGACCCGGACGGGTGCGCCGTGCATTCAGATGGCCGCGCGATGTTGTCAGCTGCGTCTGCTGGGGAGCCTCTTGCTGTCGCTGTGTCCCTGCAACAAGCTCACGTGCGACCACACCCTCCCCCCCCAAACTCGTCCAACCTCGTACCCTGCGGCTGCCCGGCCCTCTCCTCTGCACACGCGTATCAGCTTCATCGTGCTGCCGATTGCCGGCAATGCCTGCGAGCACATCACAGCTGTTTTTGTGGCCATGAAGAACAAAATGGACCTCAGGTGGGGGGCACAGGGCACATGGTCGCACGCAGCTGCTGTTGCGCGTCTGGCCAGCCGCGCCTGCGACGCATGTGTGCGGGATCCTAGCTCGTGGCTTGCGCGTGCGTGATTGTGCCAGCTGCAGGGACAGGAGCGTGCCCTGCCCAGCCTGCCTCGTCGGAGCCTTGCGGCACAACCAAGCGCAGCGCCGCTTTGCGCTCCGCCTGATGCCGCCTCAAACCTGCAATTTGCCAATGCAACCCCTTCTTCGACATCGCTTGCGGCGGCGTCGCCCCCAACTGGCCTCACAGCATGGGTGTGGCCATTGGCAGCAGCATCCAGATCGGCCTGCTGGCCGTGCCGCTGGTCACCGTCGTGGGCTGGGCCACGCACCACCCCTTCTCCCTGGCGTTCGACCCATTCAGCGCGCTGGTGCTGGTGCTGAGTGTGCTGCACACCTCCATCATGATCGAGGACAGCCAGTCGAATTGGCTCGAGGTGGGTGGGGTGGGTGTTGTAGGGCGACTGTGTGCGTGTTTGTGTGCGTGTGTGTGTTTGTGGTGGTGTTGGGAGTGCGTGCGTGTGTGGATGCGTGTGTGCGTGACAATGTTTTTTTTTGGGGTGGGGGGGAGTATGTCAGTGTGCGGGGGATGAGTTTGTGTGATGATTACCAGGTATCTGAGCGGGTGGGTTTGGCGGGGCTGGGGGAGCAGGGGAAGTCGCATTTTTGATCCCAGTCTGCTGCGTTGGTGGCACTGCTGTAGTCGTCCACCACCACCAGCACACCAGACTGGGTTTAGAGCTGCGGGTGTTGTTCGGCGCCGAACATTGTCTGGAACGGAGGGGGGTCAAACCTGTTGCCGGCTCTGGCCCACGGCCACCTCGCGCAGCCTGCTTGGTCGCAGCATCTACGCCGGCAGCCCCCGCGCGCTCCTGTCTCGTCTTTCCCTCACCTGGCGGCAACCCACCGGGCAGCCGCGCGAGCGAAGGCAACTTCACACAGCCTCGCCGTTCGAGCAAGCCAGTGCTTGCCAAGCACACACCCAGCCTGGGTGGCTTGACGGCCCTGCTGCCCCGTGTCTTGTGCTGACGATGTCACCGCCCTTGTCACCGGTGTGTTGTACCGCAGGGGCTGCAGCTGGTGGTGACGTACTTCATTGTGGCTGTGGCCTATGCCATGACTACTTGACAAGGTGTGACGCAGACGGGCAGCTTGTTTTCTGTGATGTATGTGGCTGGCGGATGCGTGATGACACATTGTATGTATGTGGCTGGCAAACGCATGAACGAAATATTGTATGTGTGTGGCTGGCGGATGCATGAATAACACTTTGATGCGTGCGGCGCGTGGCATGGGGATGCAGACATTTGCAAAGATTGTGTGTTGGGGCTTTGCCAGCGTTTTCTGGTGCCTTGGCTCATTCGTTGCACCTGGCAGGGCCCCAGGTTACCTTGGACGCGTTTATGTTTTGAGACAGGAGAGGGATGGTATCTTCTGCATAATGTAGCTTGTGTCTACATGGCGGCGGCGGCTCAGTCCCCCTCATTTCCCTGAGGGCCGTGCAGTCACTCCTGCGACTGCCACTCACCCGGGCATGAGAACAGGTGCAGAATGAAGTGCAGCTACTCCGGCGCGCATGCAAGGATGTGCAAGAGCATACTCATCTATTCTAACAGCAAATGACCGCAGGAATAGGTCTTGTTTTTGATCACGCGATCTGAAGCCAAATACCTCCAGCGCTTTCTGTGAAACAAACGCGGCAATAGTACCAATCAACTCAGACCGGCGACGCGTGCAGCCGCGCCCGTTGCGTATGCTGTGACGACTGGTGCCGCACATTTGTGCACTGCAGTGCCGCTGCTTGCGCCGCAACTGCACGCGATGCGGCGCGCATGGCCGCGCCTGCGGTGCCAATGGCCGACGCAGTGGAAAGATGTGGGTGTGGCCGCATATGCATCGCAGCTGAGCGCTGTAGGGGCCCAGGACGTGGCGCACGCAGCTGGCGACAGCGGCGCCCCATTCAGCGGGTGCAGCACTGGCGCTGCAGTCGCAGCCGGCTCCCAGCCCCAGTGTGCTGATGGCGACCGCCGCAGTGAACGCGGTGCCAGCGGCGGTAATCTGACAAGCCAATGCAGCAGCAGCTGCTGCAACAGTAGCTGCTGCAGCAGCAGCAGCAGAAGCAACGTGCCGTGGACTTGGCAGCGCGCCTCAATCACCGGGCCGCTCGCGAGCGCCTCAGCGCCAGGCGGCGCCGCCTTCGCGCGGGGACGCGCCATGGGCACCACCGCGGCGGCGCCGGACGAGAGCGGCGGCGGCGGCGGCAAAGGCGGCGGCGGCGCGGGCGGCGGGACGCTCGGCGGCGGGGCTTTGAGCGCTGAGGCGCTGCTTGCTGAGCTGGCGGAAGAGGACAGCACCGTGAGTCAATTTTACGAGGATGGCTGCCGGGGTGGACGCTGTCTGATCTTAGTGGGCGCATTCCTTGCAGCGCGGATGGTGCGACTGATTTTGATGCATTGTTGTTGCCGCGGTGGCAGCACGATTGCGGCCGGCCGGTGCCGCTGCGGCCGGGCGCCGTCGCCGCCCGCTCCTGGCACAGCGCCCGCCGCGCCCCCGCCTACGCTGGCCGCACTT